TATTTGCTTCTGTTTCAGTTATTAACTGCTCCCCCGGAGAGTTCCAATGCCAAAACCAACTACAGTGCATTGATGAACGACGCCGATGTGATGGGCGCAGTGATTGTAACGATGGAAGCGATGAACAGCTTCCGAGCTGCCCTGTGCGCTGCAACTCTCAAGAATTCACATGTGCAGATCTTCGTCGGTGTATTCCCATCATCCAACACTGTGATGGAACTAACGACTGCGCTGACAACAGTGATGAATACAACTGTCCCGAGGTGTGCATCACCGGCCAGTTTCAGTGTTTAAGCGGTCAGTGTATCGGTAGCATTCAGTACTGCGATGGGTACCAAGATTGCCCCGATAATTCGGATGAGGCTGATTGTCGTAAGTATCTTTCTTTACTACAATACATTAATGGAGTGGGTAAAGACAAAAAATTTAATGCAATGTAAACACTGTGAATCGTTTAATTTTTTCTTGCATTTTATGGCATTTGTGGACACCAAACTTCACAAAAGTCACATACACTTCACGTCGCATGACCCAAGAGGAATTTTTACTGCTAGAAAGTTTTGCAATTTGCACTGACTCGCAAAATTGAAATTGTAGGAATGTGCTATATGTAGGTAATGTTTCACCTGGTACTGTAAAATGACTAATTTTCACTGGGTTTAAATTTTGCTGATTTTCCATTTCAGGCATATTCAGTGGGTTTAAATTCACGGTTTTATCATTCAGATAATGTGTTCTATGCTAAATTTTACATATTCACTGGGTTTTAATTTAGCGCATTTTCCAGTCAGCGGAATAAGCAAAGTTAAAAACCCAGTGAATAATTAACCCTTTTATAGTATATCTTCCTTCTCTTCATTGGTTATTGAGAGTAAACGTTGGTAAATAAATATACGCGAAAAAATTATCCCCTTGCTTTTTTTCATGCAGCTTAAAATATGTATCTTGTATGTTATCAAATTTCTTTTGAATTTCTTTTCGAAAAATTCTATCCAACTTTTCATAATGGGGAAATGGGTAACTACGTTTAATGTAACAGCATTTTCAACAGAATATTGTTCCCTGATCAGTTAATTTTACTTCTGCAGCGCAACCGATACCAACTACGACTATCGCAGCAGAACCTGCAAAGTGTAGCCGAAATGAAAGAATGTGCAGAAACGGTCAATGTGTGAAGAATGATTACTTCTGTGATGGTGACTTTGACTGTGATGATAGAACAGATGAAGAAAACTGCGGTAGGTACATGTACAGGACGACGGTCAGATCCACATGTTTATTTAACCTGGTTTGTTTCTTTGCAGTAAAGGTGAAACTATACGTTGCACGGTCGACCAATTATTTTCGGCAGTGTAGTCGCCATTGTCGTTGACAGTTGTTACATTGGTATTGGTAACGCTACTATGCAATAACAATAACAAACTCCCCACCAACCTATAATGAACTTAAGCACACTCCATACACATGTATGTCGCACATTCTTTTATTAGCTCCGCTGTCGACTTTGTCGAGCGGAGCTTATCATATGAGTGATTGTCCGTCGGCGTCCGTCGTCGGCGTCCGTCGTCGTCGTCCGTGTCAATGTTTTACTTTTTCGACTTCTTCTTGAAAACTACAAGCCTGAATGCTTTGATACTTGGTGTATATGTACCTTGGGTAGACCTCTCTTAGGTTTGTTCATTTCATGTTGATATCTTCAATTCTCTAATTTTGGTGAATATTTTTGTCATTTTTGGTAAAAAGTGATATTTTCGACTTCTTGTTAAAAACCGCAAGTGCAATTGCTTTGATATTACATATATAGGTACTACATGTGGACCTCTCTCAGATTTGTTCATTTTTTATGAT